GCGGGAAGTTGCTTTTAAACCAGCCCCCCACCTACCTCCTGCTTCAGCATCTTCCAAAACCCTGGGCTGAGAGAAGTTCTAAAATTGTAAAAACAAAAGACAATGCTTGACCAGAAGGGGAAACCCTTTAAGATGTCAGTAATAATACAGCAGCGAGCAAAAAGTAAAAACAGCAAAGCTGACGAGGAAAACCGCAGCCGTCAGCGGAGGGCCACCATGACCCAGGGTAAGGCGGCACACTTTCACCCCACGGGGTGGAGGCTGGCTTCGTGGAGTTGGCCCGCTACCCTGAGACCCCAGCGCAGCTCCAGAGGCTGGAGGTGTGAGGAGGGGGACCCTGAACCGTTCTCTGATGCTCTCTCTCCAGGAAACGCAATGCTGTTGCCCCGAATGAGGCAAAGCTCTCATGTGCCACCTTTGGGACAGAGACTTGGACCCACTTCCCTGGCAGAGAGCTCCCGAGGGCATAGGCCTGTCTATCCTGGCACCCAGGAGGGCTGAGGAAGAACTTGCTACGTGAATAAATGATCCTCAGCATCCGCGAGCCCAGCCCCACCCCCCCCATCAGAAGCCCTGGAGGCTGTGACTCTGGCCCCCTGGTAGTCGATAACACCATCTCCCCTGAGGGTTTCTGAGGAGCATTTCTGTGCCAGAGGAGGCCACGGGGGGCCTCCACCAACTAGGGGTTCCTTCTGCCCCCCAACCCTCCTCACACAAGGAAGGAGGAGCCGTCTCTGCAGGCTGCAGAGCTAGAGTTGATTTGCAGCCCTGAGACCCGAGTTTGAGCTGTGTGACCTTGGGCGAGTCACTTCCTCTCGACGTGCCAGTTTCCGCATCAGTAAAGCTGGGTTAAAAGACCTACCTCTCTGGGTTGTTGTGAGGATCAGAGGAGATTACAGACTAGACGGAAGGAGGTTTTTGGGGTTTTTTTCCCCTGTTTTCTTTTTTGTTTTTTTCTTTTCCCCAAAGCCCCCCAGTACATAGTTGTGTATTCTAGTTGTAGGTCCTTCTGGTGGTGCTATTCGGGACGCCGCCTCAGCATGGATGGATGAGCGGTGCCATGTCCGCACCCAGGATCCGAACCAGCGAAACCCTGGGTCGCTGAAGCAGAGCGCACGAACTTAACCACTCTGCCATAGGGCTGGCCCCTGGAAAGGAGTTTCGTAGACAGTAAAGTACAGTGCAAGTGTCCACTGTCCAGTATCTAGTGCATTCTTGAGTCCAACAAATATTTATTAGACATCCACTTTCTGCCAGGCCCTGGCTCAGCCCAGGGGACACAGTCAGGAGCAAGACAGAGAGAAGTCCTGCTGGGACGGAAGAGAAAATGGGAGTGAGCAGGACACCCAGGACCTACAGCCCCACCCACATCCAGAGAGTAGGGAACCCAGGTCTCCCAGCTCCTGTCCCTTGTCCCTGGAGGCTGTCCAGGGTGGCCTGGCACCCTCAGCAGTGTCACCGCCAAGGCAAACACAGCCAGCCCAGAACTCTGGTTGCTTCCAGGACCCCATGAGGGAGGTTACTCAGATGGAGGAAGCAGGGCTGCAGTTTGTAATCGGAATCACCCAGCAACATTTCCACAAATTAGTCAGAGAGCTCTCCCCCAGGCAGCAGCCAGGAGATGGGCCTTCCGCCTCAGCAAGGCGGAAAGAGTGGGGGAGCCCCCTCTGCCCTCTCCTGCCCGCTAATCTGTTGTTGCCCTACTCCGGTGGGCGCTTGACCTCCCCGGAGAGGCCACCAACCCCCCCCCCCCCCCCCCCCCCCCCCCGCCCCCAGCAGAGCTGAGGGGTTAAGAGCCCAGATCCCGAAGACAGACCATCCTAAGTTTAACCCAGCTCTGCCTCCAACTCGCTGTGTGACCTTGGGCAAGGAACTTGACCTTCTTGATTCACTTTCCCTAATAACAGTATTTCAACCTCTTTAGGCTGTCACCATCACTAAACATGGTGATGAGGTAAAGCCCCTTACATAGAACTAAGCTAGGCATAGGTCAGTTGCTCAATTTTTATCTATTTAACAAATACTTATATGGTGCTTCCTATGGACCACAAACGATAATTCACTTAATCTTCACAAGAGCCCAGTGAGATAGGTATTATTATCATTCCGTCTTACAGATGAGAAAACTGAAGCACAGAGAGGTTAAGTGACTTGTTCAAAGTCACAGAGCTACTAAGTGGCAGAGCCAAACTTGAAACCCAGGCTCTCTCCTCTTCTGCTTCTTCTCATCTTTCATCTTCCAGCCCCTGGTTTTAGAAGTTGAAACAAGTGAGCGGAGGCTAATGTAAGAATAAGACCCCTCCTACCACCAATCTGTCCTCCTCGACCCCAGCAGGCTCGAGGGGGCTGCCTGGGCACAGAACAGACTCAGGCTTCATGCAGCCAGCCACTGCACTAAGCTGCCTCCCCAGAAAGCTAAGATTGTTGTTACTAAAGCCCATTAAGGTCAGTCTGTTACAGCAACCCCCGCTCCCCTCCAGCCTCCAGCCCCAGTGCAGAGCCAGAGGGTCTGAGCCTCTGCCCTCACACTCACCTCAGAGCCTGCTGTTGCTCAGCGGGCTGCAGCGGGCTCAACTGGACCAAGTGAGGGGCAGAGCCACACAGGAAGTACGAGAGACTGCCCACGGCCTCGGAGGAACCTGGAGGGCAGAAACTCCCCCTCAGCGGCTTCCCTCCCTTGGGAGCCCCCAGCCTCTGCTCGCACACCTCTGGTAACAGGGAGCTCACTGCCTCTGTCGGCAGCCCGGGCAGGCCACGGTTGGCCAGGTCTGACTGGTAGATGAGCTTCCTCAAGCCGAGATGAAATCTCTCCGTGTAATTTCCTCCCATTAGTCCTGTCTCTGCCCTCAGGCCCCAAGGGCCAGCCAGCTCCCTCCAGCCTGCAGACATCTGGAGATGGCCATCTCTTGGCAGGAGGAGTCTGCACTCAGGCTGAACACTCGGTGGCCTCTACCTGGCCTCAGAAGACAGGGTTCCTGGAGCCTTCCCCACCCTGGTCCCCGCTCTCCACCCACAACTAGCAGGACTGCAGGATTGCAGGGAGAGCCTCTGCTAAGCATCTCTGCTCGGCGCTTCGAAGAGCCTGGTCTCCCACTCAGCCCTGCTGGTGGGGAATGATAATAATAATTGACACTGGTCGCCACTTAACAAGTACCTCCTGTGCACTAGACACTGTGCTAAGCGCTTTACAAGCAGAAACTTATCCCATCTTCCCGGCTCTTTGAGACAAGTATTATTATTGCCCCCACTTAACAGATGCGGAAACGAAGGCTCCAAGAGGGAGGTGACTCGCGCTAGATCCAGCCCACAAGGAGTAAGTGGAGATGCCCTAGTCCACACACAGGTTGTGAGTTTCAAGCCCAGCTCTGGACCACCAGACGCCAATGACAGCAGTCGAGGGAGAGGAGACTCATCCACAGGAAACAGACAAAACAGCTCAAGAGAAGTTGAATGGCTTCCAAAGGCACTGGAAGTCTGGAAGGGAGAAAGATCCCTGTGGACATGGTTGGCTGGAAGGCTTCCTGGATGAGGGAGAGGCCAGAGATGAGCCTTGCCAAAACCAGGCATCTCAGACACTGCAGAATTCCCGACTGACAAACCAACGGGAATAGCCCCCGGGAGCTTGAGGAACTGAGTTGGGTTAGACCTTCACACAACAGCTCCATCCCATTGGCAGCAGGCATCTATTAAGCACCACAGTATGCTTGGTCTATGTTAGCACTCCACAAGGGCACAGATGAAGGATCTACAATCCTGAGAAGCTGAGCATCCAGTAGGGCAGCAGTGAAGCCTAGTGAGAGCTATGATGACCAGCTTGGGGTTCAACTATTGTCAATTTCCCTCTCATCAGGGACACAAATTGGAATATGTTTTGGATAAGGAGGGGCACTCCCTGCCTTCTGAAACCAGGGATACCAGCATTCCCCAAAAGACTTTCAGAGGAACCATATTCTTTGGAAAATCATACATGGAAAAATAGTTTTATGGTCAAATAAGTTTGGGAGACACTTGGCTAAAAGAAGCTAGACAAGATTTCTCTGGTGCAGGACTTCTCAGAGTCCTTACTGGTGTGTCCATTGGGGCTTGCACAGGTCCTCTTCAAGTGCCCCCTGCCCACTGTGTCCTGTTGCTCCTCTCCCTGCCACCCAAGCTTCTAGAAATAAGACAGGGCACTCTCCATGGGCACTGAGCCAGGAAAGCCTTGAAGCCCAGAGCAAGATGGTGGATTACGCATCCAGGCAGTCTGTTCTAGGAGAGGGTGAAAACAGAGAGAGCCAGTGTCTGGGGATGGGTACTTGAGAGGAATTGTCCCAGGTGGTGGGGTGGGGGAACGGTGGGAACTGGGACATGAAGATGTGCCATTCTGAGCAAGGTTCAATAGATGGCCAAACCCTTCCCCAGGATCCTGGCTCACCTAGCCCCCAGAGACCCTATGGGGTCAAAATCCACCATAACGCACAGTATGGCTGCTACCCCACCTGATGAACACCCTATCCTCTCAAATCCTACTTGTCTCTTATGCTGACCTTCTTCCTCCAGGAAGCCCTTCCTGACTGCCAGGTTGTGTGCCATGATGTGCATACAACAGCCATGTTTCTGAACCCCTGGCTCCTAGAAGCTCTATTTGGCCTTATGTCCTCCATAAGATGGCAAGTTCCTTGAAAGCAGGTACTGGGCTTGCTACTTCCTCCCCAGACTCTAAGTGATCACTGCTGTGAATTATTCACGCATCCATCTATCCATCCATCCATCCATTTATCCACCCGTCCATCCATCTATTCAGTTATCCATGCAAACATTTGTGAGCACTGCCATTTGCCAGCTCTGTGTCAAGCCCTAGGGATAAGCAGCAAAGCCCTTACAGCCCTGTCTCAAAAACAGACACCCAATGGAGTCTCCCAGCAAGACATTCCTGTGTCAAGGTGTCTGGGGCTGTCTCCACGCCCCAAACACGACTTAATGTGGCCACACTCCTCTGTGAAGCTGCAGGCAACTCCCACCTGGATGTTTGGTCTCAGAATCCCCCACTTCTTGTTGCACTTGCGATGCTTCTCGTCTCTCATCCCTGGTCTGGTCTCATTGCTGTGGGCTTCTCCTGCATCCTTGGAACTAGGTAAGGGGCACTAGGCCCGGAGAAGGCAGAGGACTTACTTGAGTTCCCCTGGCAGTTCACCCAGGTGGAGCAGGGACCGGAACACAGGCCTCCCACCACCAAGCTCTTAGGAGACCAGTGCGCCCTGGTGACACGGTGCTTGGCAGACAGCAGCCACTCCCAGCTTGCCTTTGCTGCTGACACCTTGGTGCCTCAGACTCCAGACACTTTCCTGTGGAAACCCAGGGCTATTTATTCCTCTTGGCGAATGACTCCCAGCCCCAGTCACTGGGAACAATGGCTGGCACCGTGTGGGAAATTAGCCCATGGGAAACTGTCCTAACAAGCCCTCTGAACCTGTGGGACAGTTCTTTGTAATCTTACCACCACACCCCTCAAGCCAATTTGGCCAAACTTCCTTGGGGTTTCATCAGGAATAGGTAAATTCTAGCTTTATTATTAAATTTTTATTTTAAGAGCAATTTTTGGTTATTGCATAAAATCGGGGGTGGGGAGAGAGAACCCACACAAGATTATAAAGAAGGAAGAAAAGACCTCAAACCCTTCTTGCTTCGTTTTAAAGACAGCTGCCTGGTACCTGACCCAGGGTAGTTACATCACAGCAATTGTGTGTCTGTGCCATTCTGCAAGCCACAACTACCCACATGCACACACATGGACACACAAGCACAAACATGCAGGGAAACTACAGAGTTTCCAGAGAGCAAACTGTGTTTCTAGTAACAAACCACAGTCTGACTCTAGAACGTGTGACCAGGCTTTGCCCTGAGAGAGAAGGCTCCACGGGAAGTGTCCCTGCCCAGAGCCGGCAGCCCAGCCTCCTGGCGGCGGTGGGCAAGCCCCAACAGGATGCCAGGCGGGCCGGCGGGCGGGAAGAGACGCCACTCTGAACCTCTCCCCGTTGTAATTTACCAAATCCATCTGGGGCTCCTTTGAGTCGCCTTCTGCAAATGCCACATTTCAAGGGTCTCCCTGTTAGAAAAGGTCAGAGAGTTCACGCGGGCTTTTCATGTTAAAGGAACTTGAAAGAAAAGGAAAGGAAATGTGTGTTTTCAGCCTCAGCTGTGATTAAGTGGGCTCAGGCCATGAGAACATTTAGATGATTTACATGACGTTACATGAAGAGCCAATTAGCCTAACAACTTCCGAAAAATATCTAGCTCAAGAGCACCCACTTATTAGAGTGCTTGGGATGTGCCAGGCGTTGTGTTAAGCTCTTTCTTAGGAGTCATAATTCATCTTAACCTCGCTCCCGCAGGGTGAGGCAGGCTCGGTGTGACATCCATTTTACCCATGAGGAAGCTGAGGCTCAGAGAGGGTCAATGATTTGTCTGGGTTTCCCCAGCTGGTAAATGGTAGGACCAGGACGGAGACTCAGGTCTGCCTAAATCCAAAGCTGGAGCTCTTTTGCTCTGACCCTCAACCCTCATGAGCTCTGACGTTGTCCTGGATCCAGCATCTAAGGACAGCACGTGTCCACCTGGTTCATTTGCATGAAGACGAAGGCTCATTAAATCTCCAGCTCTGAGCTGGGCTGCATGAGTCCAGAAGACTCTGGGGCCTCCTTGAAGCTGGCCCTGATTCCAAAACTCCCTGGTCACCTCAAGGAGGGCAGCGACAGCAGATCCCCTAACCAGCCCGTGGAAGAACCCCAGGGCCTATTGTCTCTGTATGGATCTGAGTCAGTGTCCGGAGCGGCAGTCTAGGGTGGGCCCAGGGGAGAGATGGTACAGACTGAGGTCTGTCTGACTCAAGAGAGACCCTCTGGGTCCTCTCACCCAGCAAAGGGCTTGAGTCACCCTATAGACTAGCCAGGGAGAGTCGCCAGTCCTCCTGGTGGCCTCTCCATGCAACATGAGCCACCCAGAAAGTCTATTAGCGACAGCTCATTCATTAACATTTGTCTGCAAAGACCACAGAGCAAACAAGGATCCCCTCTGAATTTTAGAGGTCATAATGGAACACTGGAGTGTGGTAGTTAGGGTGTGGGCTCAGGAGTCAGACTGCCTGGGTTTGGAATTCTGACGCTCATTTCCAAGCTGTGAGAACTTGGTTGACTTATTCAACCTCTCTGAGCTTCAGTTTCCTCATTCATAAATGGGGATAATGGTCCCTAGGTCATAGGATTGGTATGATGATTAAATGAGATAATGTGAGTGAAGCTTTTGACATGATGTCTGGTACATAGCAATAACTCAGGAATATGAAGTCATTGCACAGATGATGATGGTGGTGGAATCAGTGCTGACCAGACAAGGGCCTGCTGCAGGGCTGCACCTGCCTTTTGGGGGCAAGCCTGAGCTCCTTTTCCTCTCTACCTCTTCAAGCCCTATAGAGACTTCCAGGCCCAGATGAAGTCCGCTTCCTCCAGGAAGCCAATCTGACAACTACAGCCACATTGATCTCAACATATCTGAGCCCCTTCTGGCCAAGATCTGCAAAGACTAACGCAACAACAAACTCAGCTCTAATCATTTCTCAGCTTCTCAAGCAGCCAACGCCTCCTAGAAAGCAGGAGCGCCCACCACCCTGCCCTGGTCCCTTTCCTCTCCATGGCCTGAGCCCAGGGTAAGGTACACAGCAGCGCTCCCTCAGGAGGCCTTCAGGCTGATGTTAGCATGGCTCTGGATGTCTGTGACTCAACGGTCTCTCCATTCCTCACCCCTCCTCACACCCTTATTCTCCCTACTCACCCGCCCCCGCCCCTCGTTCCAGCCAGCAGGGCAAGAGGTTGGAGCCATGACCCCATAGGGCAGTGGTCCCCAGACTTTGGGATTCACAGCCCTATAAAACATCCAGAGAAATTTGGAGGTGGGAGAGTGAACAGAGAGTAGCCAAGTTTTTCGTTGTCAAATAAGGACATTAAAAAAAAAATCATTTCTCACCATCATTTTAGTAAAGAAAGGCTGTTTTCATGCCGCTAAAGCAGAAAGTTCATAATCTCTGATTAAAGGCTAATACTCAAAGCTGAAAAAAATTTAACCTTTTTGAGAAAAACAAACCAACCACCTCACCGTTGCCCTGACTTCTCTCCTTTCTCCACCGCCTGGAGAAAACTTCAACCCCCACTGGCCTCTGTGCACTAGGACCTGATGGATCTGGGGACCTTTGTCCTGGAGGAGGCTCCTGCTAAGCTAGGGTCACCCCCAAATGCAGGAGGACCCCCAAAGCCTTTGGGTTAGGCAGATCCCTATTCCCATTCAGCTCTCCCAGAGGAGGCTCATCCCAGAGACAGACCCGACAACCTCAGGGGCTGAGGTGGGGGAGGCCAAGGGCCTCTCCTCGCTCCAGCTCGGGACCGGGTTGCCTCAGGCAGGAGCCCTTCCCCGCATCTCCAGAGGCGACGAGGCGAAGCTGGGCAGCAAGCTCACACTCAGGAAAGGAGTCTGGGGAGACCTAACGGGGGCAGGGTCCTCCCCACATCTCCATCGCCAAGCTGACAGTAGTGCCCACCCCACCCCCAAGCCCCTGGCAGGGAGGAAAAGCGGGCACGCCAGCCCTGAGGGGCGGGGGCCGAGGCGCCCCGCTGGGCGGGCGCAGATAGGATCTGAACGCGGAGAAGGACGGCCCTGGCTCTTTGATCCGCAGCCAGCCAGGCTGGGCCTGGCCCCGGAGGGGCGGCGCGGCCCTCTTCCGCCCGGCTTTGCGCCGCTGCCAGGGGTCCTGTGGGGCTCTGGGCCGCAGAGGGATCCAAGACACCTTCCCTTCCCAAATATCCTCTGCCTCCGTTGCTTTCGGAAGAAGTAGGAATGTCTACACGGCATCCAGCACAGAAACCTGCTGAGGGCTACGGCTTACTGCACCGCCATCCAAAAGGACCGGTATCTTTCCTCGATGCCGTGGCTGAACCGAGGCCAAGCGTGCTGGGCAGGCCCGCGTGGACATGCCCCCGGGTGCTTTGTAGATGTGGTGGGAGCTGGCGCCGGTTCCCGGGCTCCGCAGGCTATATTGTCCCTGCAGCTTGGATCTTGCCAGGGCCCGCCCGCGCCAGGCTCGGAGTCAGTGGGCTTTGCGGGAACGCGACTTCCTGGGTTGAGTTGCTTCGGACAACCAAGCCCTTGTGAGAATCCCGCGGCCCACGTGTCTATCCAAAGCCTCGCATGCTCGGGCCCCAGGTTCCAGGCGTAGAATAGAGTTGGGAGAGTCGTGGGGGGTAGGGGGTCTGCTGGAGGATGGGCACGCGGGAGGCGGCATGCGGGAGGCGGGATACTTCCTCCTTGTCCTCCTGACTGTGTTCGTGCCTCGGAGCCGCCACATGGCCAAGGGGTCCATCACAGATGTGTGATGTATGAGCCCCGTATGCAACAGCAGCTCAATAAATGTGTAAGGGGTATACACTCGTGGTTTATACTCGTGTTTGCGCTGTGTGCGGGCGACCTGGAAGGAGGTCCCAGATTGTCCTATGCCTGGAGGACGCAGCAGAGAATTGGACTTCTAACCCTGCCGGCTTGGAGTTCAAGCACAGCCTCGAGCAGCCCCCAAGATCTAGGAACCCCCAGGTCCAAGCCCAGGACATTCTGGGCCCAGGGCACACGACTGAGTTCACACCTTGGCTCGAGTTTCTCTAAAGGCCTGGCAGCTGGGCGAGAAACCTGGGCGCGGGGTGGGAATCTCCCGTTGTAGGTGAGGAAGCGGGGGTCTGGAGTCTCTTTTAGAGTCCCCGCATTTCAGGAGAAGGGTGATGCTTTCCAGGCTCGTCTGACGCCTCACTCCCGTCACGCCCGGAGAGCGAGCCCTTTAAGACTGTGCCCACTGGGCGCGTCTCTGCCTCTCCCGGGAGAGGGGCGGGGCTGGCGCGTTGGCCCCGCCCCTCGGCCGGGCCCGCCCCCGGCGTCCCAGCCGGCGGCGCCTTTGATGTTCGGACCCGCCAGCTCCCGGAGCGGCTCAGCCTGGCGCCCGCGCCCCGCGCCCGCAGCCCGCCCAGGCGGAGTCAGCCCGCGCTCCGCCCGCCGCGCTCCGGGCTCGGAGGTCCGGACTCCGGGCTCGCCGCCTCCCGGGCCGGCTCCGCGCCCCGCACTCCCGCGCCCCGCGCACCCGCGGGCGGAGCGCATCATGCCGCAGCTGGACTCGAGCGGGGGCGGCGCGGGCGGCGGCGACGACCTCGGCGCGCCCGACGAGCTGCTGGCCTTCCAGGACGAGGGCGAGGAGCAGGACGACAAGAGCCGCGACAGCGCCGCGGGCCCCGAGCGCGACCTGGCCGAGCTCAAGTCGTCGCTCGTCAATGAGTCCGAGGTCGCGGCGGGCGGCGCGGGGGTCCCGGGGGCCGGCGCCGGGGCCGGCGGCGAGGCCGAGGTCGGGGCCGAGGTGAGTGCCGCCCCTGCGCTCGGCTCGGCTGGTGCAGACCCGCCGCTCCTTCCTGTGGCCCTCGGGGTCCCCATCCCTCAGAGCCCCCCCGTCCCAGGCCCCGAGCCCCAGCGCCCCTCACGGCCCCTCTGGATCTCCCCGCAGGCTCTCGGGCGGCAACACACTTCGCAGAGACTTTTCCCCGACAAACTTGCAGAGTCTCTGGAGGACGGTGAGTTTCTGCACGGCCCGGCTCCCCTCCTCCCGCCAAGGCCTTCGCGGGGGAGAGGGGCCGCCGAGGGGGTGCCTCCCCCCTGCTGCAGCTCCCGGAGGCGGTAAAACCAGGGGGTGGGAGGAGTGGGGGGCGGGTTTCCCGGGCGCCGCCAGGCTCGAGTCACTTCCGGTGCCCTGACCTTTATAGGAGTAAACAGACCCCCGCCATCTCCGCCTCCCCTCCTGCCCAGGTGACTGACTAATCCCCTCGTCTGGAGGAGGGAGCGGTGGCCAAGGTTCCTTGGCCCGAGGGCCGGTGGGGGTCAAGTAGGGGCCGCCTAGGGGAGGCCTGGACCAGGGGTCCTTCGTCAAAACTTGGCACTTCAGGCACCCACAGCCGGTTCCTTCTCAAGTCACCAACTTGAAGGCGACCCCTTGGAAATTCTTATTTTTTCTCTGGAGAGCAGACAGCCTTCAGCCCGAGCTGCCCGGGCTGGCGCGGCTGACCCAGCTGTGGTTTTTCCAGGCCTGAAGGCCCCGGAGTGCGCCAGCGGCATGTACAAAGACACCGTCTACTCCGCCTTCAATCTGCTCATGCACTACCCACCCCCCTCCGGAGCAGGGCAGCACCCCCAGCCGCAGCCCCCGCTGGTAAGTGGCCCCAGCAGCCCAGCCTGCCTTATGCCTGTGTCTTCCTTGACCGCGTATGTGAGGCATGGGCGAGAAGTGACTTTTGCCTACAACAAAGTAGATACATGAGAACTCTGTTCTGGTCTCTTTTCCCGTATCCACCCAGCGGGATCTGAACCAGAAGGAGAACTTTGCAGAACGAAGAAGGGACGGCTCTGGGCAGCCCCCTTCCCTCTAGCTGTTGGCTGTTGTCTTCCTAGCTTGCTCACAAGCATGTGCAGGCCCTGACCTGGTGCTAGGTGATGCTGGGGTGGAGTCTACTGAGAGCTTTTCAGCCAAGACCACCGCCGCTCCTTCTGAGGGTGGTGTTCGCAGTGTGGTCTGAGCTGTGAGCTCTGCCGTTTGGAGCTCTCCCACGAGCTTCTCTGCTTGGAGGAATGGGCAGACAAGCTGGTCTGCTTCAGATCTCCTGTTTGTGCAGGAGAAACACGCTCTCCTCACTCTTTCCTTATTGGTACGAGTGCACCCTTGCCAGAGAAAGACCCTGAAAACGATGTGTGGAAAGTGGGTTTTTATGAAGCTGGCTTGGTCTCAAACGCACCAGGAAGGGTTTGCAAGGGTGTTTCAAATCAGTAGTGTTGGTAAAGGGCCTGTTTAATGAATTTGCAAATACACAGGAGTACTGGGTTTAAGTACCCAGTGCTTTGCAAAGATTTCATGATCTTTACAAACCATGCTTTTCTGCCCATTGGTGCAGATGACCTAAAGTGTGAAGAACCCGTTCTGAATGCTTTGGAGCAGTAAAGCTACACTTAGAAAAAAAATCAGATTAGTGTTTCAGGTTGTCCTCAGTTGGCTCGAGTCAGGGGTGAGGTCAGAGCTCCTAGAGTACGTGCAAGGTTTGGGGGACTCTGATGGGCAGGTGTTGGGTGCACATAGGGCCCAGTGCCGGTGGGAGGCTCATGTGGCTAGTGGTGGAGGTCACCCAGAGGGAGGAGGGTGATTGCTGGGCTGTTTAAAATCAAGAGTGAGGAGGGTTGGTTCTGAGAGCTGTTTCATGCTGAAGCTGGTGGGAGATGAGAAGGCAGATTGAGGCTTCACTCCAGAAACCCAGGATGGAAAACCTGGTAGATGGTTGACTCGAGAAATGAGCTCCTTGCCTTTTGGACCCCCATTTCCTCATCTGTAAAATGAGCATGTTGGTTGAGTGGTCTGTCTGTCTGACTCTCTGTTCTGGAGTGGCTCAGTCCATGAGGTGTTTGCTTCCTCCCAAGTCTGTTGGGGAGGGGCTCGCCCTCTGACCTTGCTACCTGATATAGCCCTGCACAAGCAGATGCTTAATAAGGATGCTTTTTGGGCCTCCTATAAGGTGTACACCCCTACATTTTGGGCCAAGTTGACATAACCCACCGCTGCCAAACCACCAGCAGGTGAGTTGCTTGGATGAGGGCAGGGGTCACTGTGATAACCATGACTGGACAAAGGCCTAGCCCCCAAGATGGTCCTAGCAGGGCAGGCTCCCCTCCAGCTTCTTGTGATTCCACAGCGGAGCAGGGAAAAGGCAGTGTTTCTGAGTTCCTTTCACAGAGTGGGCAAGTGGTGGGAGAGTGCCTGGAGTGGGAGGGCCTCGTTCTCTGTGAGGGTGTGGTGATGGGACCATTTGGTGTCCTTTAGCTTACACTGGTCAAAGAGTAGGCGGGCAGGCGGCCGACTCCAGCAGTCAGGATAGGGAGGAGCAGGGGTGGGGGCAGGCACACCACCACTTCCCCAGCCTGGATCATTTATTTTTTTCAACTTCAGGATCTTTCTCAAGCTGCAGAAGATGCATTTCTGTGTGTCACACCCTCTCCTATAGGAGAGGCAAATTCCCTTATCCTCCTCCCTACTCAGCTGCAGCCTCCCACTGCCTGGCTTCTGGGAACACAGGAGGAGGAGGATGGCTCAGGCACTGACTTTCTCTGCCCTGGCAACAGCTGCTCCATGGGGCTGGGGACAAGGACAGAGGCGAGGGCCTACGTTGGGGTGACACTTGGTAAGGAAGATGTCGGTGAATGTAGGAGAGCCTCTTTTAAGCAAACTTGATATTTAACAAACAAATAGCAAGTACAAGTAGTTAGCTTGTGTTACGCGAAGAGTTATGTAGACATTTAAAATATGGTTGGGTTTTAAAAAGCAAAATTGACTGAGCCCTGGTTTGGGAGCGTATTTATCACATCATTGAAGGTTCATGTGTCTGGAATCAGAAAAGATGCTCTTAAAGTGGGTCAGGAGCCCCTTCTAGGGACCCTGAGGAGAAACTGCCTTTGGAGACTTTTTCCAAAGCCATGCTTTCTTGAACCCATGTTCAGGGGACAGATGACACGCTGGCCAGCCCTGCCCATGGGCCTTAGAACTAGGCCCCCTCACCCTTTGCCCAGCCCTCTCTGAGAGAATGCAGGTGGTTAGCAGTTGTGCTGAGGAGCTCAAGGCCAATCACTTGTCCTCCGCAGACAGGGAAAACCCATGCCAGGGACCCCCTCTGCCCATGTGTGGATGGAATGCCCATGTGGCCACCATGTTGGACACCTTAGAGCAGGGAGCTCAAACTTTGCCAGGAGCAATGGGCCGAATGACCATCTCACAGCCAACTGCAAGGGGACAGGGAGGTTTTTTTCCAAAAAGTTTGCTTCTTTTTGGTATTTGGTATTTGGTATTCTTGTAAACAGTTTGGGGAAGGGGGAATTAGGTCAAGCTTACTTCATGGCTGATGTTTGTCCGGCATCTCATGTAGGCTTGCAGACACTTAGCAGCCTAGGCTAGTAGCCACTGCTTGTTTTTGCTTTGTTTTCTTTGCTCTGCTCTGAGATTCAGAGGGGAGTGGAGGGCCAGTGAGCTGGTCCTGGGCCAGACTTTGAGGGGATTCTGGGATGAGTAAGGCATCACTCCTTAGGGAAACTTAGACTCTTGGATGTGCGGGGGACCGACAGTCTGGTGCAAATCCTCATCTCAAAAAGGATGTGAGGCCGTGTCGCTCACATGGCCCTTTCTATGGGCTCCACTTGGAGCCTATAGCCTGGAAGGCTGCTTAGCCTTTTGCTGTGTAGATAAAACGTCCAGAATAGGCAAATCCATAGAGACAGAAAGTAGAGTGGTTGCCAGGGGCAGAGGGAAGAGGGGAACGCGGAGTGACTGCTAATGGGTATGGGGTTTCTTTTTGGGGTGATGAGTATATTCTGGAATTAGATAGTGGGAGTGGTTGCAGAACTTTGTGAATGTATAAAAGCCATTAAATTGTACATTTTAAAATGGTGAATTTTATGGTATGTGAATCACATCTCAATCCAAAAGAAAGCTGAGTCTTTCAGCTCTTGAAGGGATTTGGGGCTCTTTCCCTGTGCCTGACCTCCACAGCCACCCTGGTGCCTGGGTGTGCCCTAAGCCAGGAGGCCAGGCATCAGCTCCAGTGTGGAGCAGCCCAGTTGAGGCAGTGGACTCATGCGTGGGCTCCTGGCCATTGGGCTTCTCTTCCCTGACTCCAAGGTCTGAGGTCCAGGTGAGGGCTGTGTGAACGAGCCTTGGAGGAGCGGGAGGTGAGGGTATGAACAAGACCTGAGCAAAGGAAGGAAGTGCTGCTAACACATGGCCAGCCTGTCTGGGGGAGCTCTGCGGAGATGCACCCACCCAGCCCTCCACACCCATCAGAGAGCGAGCAGCAAGGCCTTGCTGGGGAGGTTAGTGATGATCGATCACCAGCTCTGGTTGGAGGGAAGCCTGTTAGGAGGGAGTCTGGCACCAGGCTGGGCACCAGGTTTTGTGCGCCAGATGGATCAGAACCAGCCTCTGCCTCTGGGAGTGCCTAGCTGAGCAGAGGAGACAGATGAATAGACCCGAACCAGGCCCTGGCTGGAGGAGTACCGTCACAAAAGGCCCTCCTGGGGGCACCATGGGCAGAGCTGGCCCTGCCTAGGCTGTGGAGGAGGGTCTGCTGAGCAGCTTCCTGAAGGTGCAGAGTTGTCTGACAGATGAAGACAAAGAGGGGACTGGCAGGCACCTGGGCTCCCCTCCAAACATCTTCCACGTCTCCATCTCAGTCACCACCCCCAAGCCCAAGCCCTCGCCATCCAGCACTCAGATGGCAATAACTACCTCCTCCAGGATCCTTCTGCCCCGACCCCGGCTCCCAACCTAACCCCCAATCCAGGCTCCACAAAGCAGCCAAACATAAGTCAATCCCATCTCTTGGCTGATTAACCCTGCAGTGGCTTCCCATTGCTCTTGGAGTAAACTCGGAACACCTTACCACAGCCTGAGTGCCTGGGTGGCTGGCCCCTGCTGCCTGCCCCTCCTCGTCTGCACCATACTTTTTCTCTCTCTCCAAATAGCAGCCGCCTCAGTGTCTTGATATGTTTTACAACCATCAGGTTCTTTCCCACCCCAGGACATTTGCACTTGTTCCCTCAGCTTGGAATTCTCTTCCCCAGCTCTTCACATAGCTGCTGCCTTCTTATTCCTCATTCTGGTCATCAGTCAAATGTCACCTCCTCGAGAGACCTCTAGCCATCCAAGTGGGACCCTTCATCATCCCCCTGGGCCGCTGCTGCCTTGTCCGCCCTGGCAGCTCTGCAGGCCAAGGTGGTTGGCTGGTTTATGAGGCACTTGCCATGCTTAGACCAAAGACAGCCCACCTGTCAGAAGTATCTCTGAGCCTTAGTTTCCTCATCTGCACAAAGAGAGTGGGGAGCCCTCCTCCCAGATTTGGAGTGGGGACTGGAGGCTGCAGTGCAATGGAGGTGCCAGGTGCTGGGTGCCTGGGCTCAGGGGGTGGTGGGTTAGCCCCCTGTTGTCCTCCCTTGTTGTCCTGGCTCCTCTGGGGCCAGTGGTGGCTCAGTGGTAGGCCGGCCCCACATGAACTCCCAACTGGAAGGCTATATCTCCACTTTGGGCCACAGGGGTCTGGGGGTCTGAACCCTGGGGGCAGGACTCAGGTGTACAGACCCCCTCCTCGATGGCCTACCTCACCTAGGGACTTTTGGGAGGGGAAG